CACACACACACACAGCTAAAAAGCTGATGGGAGAATACTACTCACTGATAGAAGAGTGTGAACTACTGAGAAACATAACTCATGGCTGAACCTCAACATCACTGCACTGAGTGAACGACAATGAGTCCGAAAGAGGACGTACATAATACAGAACGGGCACAGCTAATTAATTTAAGGTTAAAAAAACCAGACGAGAGTGGGCGTGGGGACTGACGGGGGAAGGGACAGATGGGAACTGAAAGGTGGATGGACACATTCTCTATGTGATAGCGTGTGCATTACATGGACTATCCATCTGTCAGAACTGGACAGCTGACATCTGCACATGTACTGTCCGTAAATCTTAACTGAGAGAATCCTTTACTAACAAGTGGAGGATGGGGAGTGGGTGTAGGTAAAGGCAGCCAGGATGCAAATAACCATAGAGGGTGGAGGTGACTACTGGGGGTTCAGTCTCTGGCGTGTGGCTTTTGTTGATGTTTGAAATTTCCATAATAAAAAGTTAAACCCCCAAACCCATCTGGCTATTAGCTTGCGGCCACAAAGAATGTGCAAGCACGCTGTCCTTCTCAGCAGGCGCTGCTCTGCCAAGCTGGCAGCTCTTGGAGGCCAGGCGACCAGCAGTTTTGGGAGTCCTTCCTTCTGGGGCTTGTGAGACTGGTTCAGGGTGATCCTCCCCCGGGGGCAGCAGGACCCGGGGCCAGGGCACCAGTCAGTCCCCCACAGCCTGAAGTCCTCTGCTTCTCCTTCTCCTTTTCCTGGCTCAGCTGGGACGGGCTCCTCAGTGCTCACAATCACCTTGGACGGCTGTGCTTCTGCTCCGCACTTGAACTTGGCAATGGGACTAGGAATCATTCCTTGCTGTCCTCCCCACTGGTCCTGTCACATTCCTTTGTCCCTTCTCCTGTTTTTCTTCCCCAGGCAGGGATCTGAGCTTTCTTTCTCTGAGTCCCTGCATCTCTGGCTGCTCTGGATAGGGTTCCGGGACCCAGCCTGACCAGGTTGGCCCAAAGCTCTTTGTGGTTCAGAGACACGCCCAGTGTGCTGTTTACAAGCCGAGCACAGTTCATTTGCCATCTGGTCCCAGATAAGGGCAGACTTAAGAAATAAAGCAGGGAGGAGCAGCCACGTTGGCACAACTTCCCCCGCTTGGCCGGCACAGCGTTTAGGAGGCACATGTGACCTTTTCGTGATGCCACCACTGAGTCACATCCACCCCTGAGAGCATGGGCGAGGGTTCCTAAGTGTCTGTGAGGGGCAGAGGAGAGACCCTAGGTCAGCGGCCCTGGATGACAGCCTCGATGAATGAATTTGCCCGGGCGCAAAGGGAAGAGGCTTCTGTTTACAGGAAAATACTCCAGTTGCCTAGTAACCAGTAATGACAGGAAAGGAAATGCAGAAAAAGTGGAGGGCAAGTTCTGGGCCGGGTTCCTGGCCCGGGCTGACTCACAAGGACCTGAAGCAATCTCCCTTCCGCTCCTGCTCCTCCGGAGGCGAGGCCGAGGCGGGGGTCACCTGCCTCACACGGGTCGGGCTGGGATTTAGGAAGCAGCTTGTCATGTCCTGGTAATTAGGGAAGAGCAAGCCGAGGGGTTTTCATCCCTTTCGTTCTGACTGGCCCATTGACTTCCACTCTGGGCAGACGTAGGCCTTTTACTTTTACTTCGGGGAGGGACACACAGCCTCCTCCGGACATCAGTGCGTGCTCTGCCGGTACCTGGTGGCATCTGGATGGCACCAGGGTTCATTTGCCCCCAAGAAGGCAATTCACTTCTCCCCTGTGAACAAGAAGCAACAAGTCCAGAAGGTTCTCGAGAGCACAGGTTGTTGCAAACGCCGGGGTCTGCCCCAATGCCTGTGTTGACATTCCCAGGGTTATTAGGGGGATCAGAAAAATCAGGTCCCTTTGCTTCTCTTGGGTCCCCTGTCAGTCTGAGGCCAGATCAAGGGAGCAAGCCACGTGGGGGTTAGATTCTGTCTCAACTGACAGTCCCTGCTGGCGTGCGGCCCCTGCTGAGTGCCAGGCCCCTGGGGGCGACTGGTACACTTGGAGAACGAAGTGTCCATCTCCTCCCTGCCGAAGAGTGGACTCTTCAACTTCCCATGATGGTAGAAACCACATCTTTTCGCCTGGATCATTGCCACGCGTCGCTCTCCACCGTGAAAAGGCATGGCTGCAGGTTCCCAGGCTGGGCACCGCGGACGCTCGGGCTGGCCCGAGCACTGTGGGTGCTGACGGGACCCCCCAGCCCCCACCCACCAGATGCCAGGAGGACCCCATCCCAGTCTCCAGACACTGCCCAGTGTCCGTGAGGGGGGGCAGGGTCACCCCGACTGAAAAGCACTGTTCTCAGCGAACATGCAGTGTCTGGGACAAAGGGCGCGTGGGAATAAACTCACAGACAGACTGAGAACAGGGGAAAGGACCACTGCGGTGATCTGGGCAGGAAATCGCTGCAATGTGCGGAATCAGAGGGGAAACGACTGGGCCCTTTAAAGTCGGCCCTCTGTGTCCAGGCGTCACAATTTCAACTCTCATCCAGGGGGACCAATTGTTCCTTCTTTGCCTAGAGCTTTTAGTTGCCCTGACATTCCTCAGTCACTTTTCGGTTTTCCTCTTTTGCAGCAGTGGCCTTTGAAGGATCAGAGCTGGCTCCGAGTCGCCCTGGAATGAAGTATCTGCAGAATTCAAATTCCTTTTTCTTTTGGTAAGAACTGGGCTTCCGTTCCTGTTTTCTTCTCAGGAGCCAAACTTTCCCTCTTTCTCCAGCAGAAAGAGGATCAGGCCCAAGTCCTGGAAACTGGCCGTCGGGGCTCTAAGCACGACGCAGGGGGCGGGAGGCAGCGGCGCCCGGCGGCCCCATGGGTGGGAGAGGCCGCTCAGCTCCAAGGATGGTGGCCTTTTCCCCACTGTAACGAGGCAACACCCTCTTGGTTTCCTCTTGAAGAGACATGATTTGACTGCTCATGTAAAAATTATCCAGACTAAGGGATAGTTAGCTCGTCTCAGATGTGGTCTGATTTTAGTTGCCACTGATGATGTAACAGCTTCAGGGGAAAACGTGAATTAAGAAACCACCCAGCCTGCACTGACACTTTCGCCCCACAAATGTGCTCCTGGCCGGCGACCGGTCCCAGCACTTCTTAGTAATCACTTCACCACCACAAGACTTGGGTTCTGGGAAGTGGAAATTCTCCCCCGGGTGGGGGTGTGGGTGTGTGCTCTGAAGTTCATCACATCAGCCCCTTATTTGTCCTGGGAGAGTGGGCACCAGGAGTGTGTTGTCCACTTCCTTATGTACACACGGACACACACGCACTCACACCACACACATGTACAATCACGCGCACACACACACAGCCACACACCCGTGGACACACAAACACACACGCACACACAGGCACATGGGGGCACACATACACACAAGCACACTTACACAAAGGCATACGTGTGTGCACACCCATTACGGGCTAATGTGAGAAAAAAACGGCCCGAGGGAAGGGTAGGGCTCCGCAGCGGAGGGTAGGCTTAGCACGCACGAGGCCCCGGGTTCCATCCCCAGGAACTCCGTTAAAGCAATCAACAAGTAAACCTAATTACCTTCCTCCTCCTCCAGAACAAGAAAAGGGAAATGGTCCAAACCACTCGTAGGGCACTGCTGCCAGTTTCTTACTCCAAGTAAGTTTCTAGTCAACCAAATGCTGACCAGTCCCATAATTCCAGCAGGAAAACACAAACGACACTTACAGTGAAAAGGAAGGGGATCTATGTTTACATATTTGTACCCATGCACACAGGGGGAAAAAACCCTCAAAACCCAGGTTTTTCTCTACAGATAACTTGCTCATCCTGGGACTCGGCTCAGACATTGTATCGCCATCACCCCACTTTCTGACACAGCGTCCTCCTCCTCCTCCAGCCCAGATCCCGACCCCACGTGCCCACCCCTCTCTTCCTGGCACCCTCCAGCCCCTGCTTTCCTGCTGCAGCCACAGAGCTGAGTGGCTGTGACAGAGATGCCAAAGCCGAGACGCGTGGCAGCCCTCCTCAGAGACGGCCTCCACGGGCTCCGTGCGGGGTGCAGGTGCGTGTCTCAGGGCCCGCAGCTCCACAAGGGCCCTGGGCTTTAGTTTCTGCACAGGTCCAGGGTCTTAGGAGGGCGCCAGACTCAAGTACAGGGACTTCCCCAGGTGGTCAGTTCTCAGGCAGCTGCTCCATGATCAGCCTTCAAGTAAGAAACCAAAGGCTGAGGCTCAGAGAGGTCAAGCGATGAGCCAAAGGCCACACAGCACGAAGTGGCGGGGCTGGATCTGAACAGGGTCTCCTTCCTTTAACAGGAGGCACGAGTCTGTAAAGACCCCTGAGTCCCCCACTGTCTGTATCAGGCAGAGCCCCTGTTTCCTTCCCATGTAAATTGTTCCCCAGCCCCCACGCCAAAGAGCATCCAAAATAAGAACTTGAGCTCAGAGTTCTGCTTTAGAAGTCGCTAGAATTTAGCTCATGTTACCAGAGCTCTGAATCATGGCCACGGTCCGGGTGAATCCACCCCGGGCCGGCTCACTGGGCTCCCCTAGCTGGGGCTGCACGCCTGCTCAGTGACTGCAAGGGACTTGTAGAAGGCAACCCTGACATCACTGCTCCCATCGTCTCTTTCCAGAAGCGGCTGCCCGAGTGTCGAGCTGGGCGGTGTTTCAGAATTTACAGCCCCCTGACCGACTGCGCATGTTTGAAGCCCGGGTTTACTCCCAGCCCTGGAGGGGGCCACCTGCTTTCCCTCTCTCCATCCGTGTCCCTCCCTGCCCTCTTCCAGCGTTCCCTCTCCACGCGGGCACGCGGCGCCGTCTCCCCCACCCGTCCTGCCCCTGCTCCCGCACACTTCCGCTGTGGCTCTAGGGAGGCAGCCCGGCTGCCCCGATTCCTGACGGCGTGTTTACATGGGATGGCCTCCCGACCCCTCGGCTCCTCCAGGCCAACCCAGATGGAACTCGGTGTGCCGGGGCTTAGCGGCCTGAGTGGGTCCCCTGCCCTGTACTGCCTCCACCCTGCAGGGCGAGGTCTCTGCAGGATGAGGGCGGCCAGTGTGGCTCCAGGGGTCCAGACCCGTGGTGGCAAGGCGGGCACGGCGTGGAGGCTGGACTGGTGTCCCCGAGAGCACTGAGGTGGCGCCTGCCAGGTTGGGACTGACGGACCCTGTAAAGCTGGGCTGAGGCCAGGCCGGAGAGCGCCAGTCCCTCCAGGCCCCCCGCACCCTGACCCCGCAGCAGCTAGAGCAGAAGGAAACCACCAGTAGCTGCAGCTGCAAAGTGGACCAAGAGCCGCAGGGAGCGGCAGCTAAGCCCCGCCGTCATGGCATCTCATCACCTGGGGCAGGGCCCCCCCGGCTTGGCGCCGTGGCCCCTGGGCAGGGTCGCTATTGGATGTGGGGCGTCCCGGGCACTGGAGGGTGCAGAGCAGCCTCCCTGGCCCCACCCACTAGATGCCAGCAGCACCTCCCAGTCTGACCACTATAAATGGCTGAGACATCACCCAGGGTCCCCTGGGGGCAAAGTCAGCCAGGGATGAGAGGCACTGCTTCCTCTCTTCGGGAACTGCTCAGAAAATATAACCGCATTTTAACACAATTCCCAGGAGGCTCGTATGCATATTAAAGCTTGAGAAGCGCTGCTCTAAGCCAGGGTGTCTTCCTCTCAGCACCAGAGACTTTCCAGGAGGGTCATTCTCTATGGGGGGCCGTCCCAGGAACCGTGGGGGTGTGGAGCAGCTTCTCTCGCCCCACCCACTGGATGCCAGGTGCATCCCCAGCTGTGACGACCAAAGGTGTCCCCAGACATGGCCCACTGTCTCCTGGGGCAGGACCGTCCCCAGGGGGAACCACTGGTCTAAGGCCACAGCCTCGCTAAGCATGGCACTTTCAAATCAACCAAAAACCCTCCTCTGTGCTCATGGTCTTGGACATACCTTCAACCACACAGCTGTGCACATGTTTGGCCTCTGGACCAGGCAGTCTTCCTCTAGGAAACACAGTCTGGGTCTTAGTCACCCCATGGCCCCCTCCGAGCCCCTAGCATGTTGCACGGGATGACCCCCCGGGCATATCCAGAAGTGAGCGGGGGAACGAGGGCCCTGCTGCTGGGGCCACTGCCTGCACTGTCCACCTTTCCTGAGCCGGCGCCGGCCCCTGGCCCAGGTTCTCGGGGGTGGCTTCAGCAACGTCCTGTACCACAGTAGGTGGGGAATACGCTGATTTAACTTGCCCCCTCCTGCCCACCGCCTGAGCCTTCGGAGCGCCCCACACAGCAGGGAGGAGGAGCCCTGGAGGGGTGACAGGTGACAGGCCGGGAGCTTCTTCCTCAAGAGCATCTTCTGGGTCTGAGCCAGGTGACAACCCAGCAGGAGACAATGCTGCCTGCTGACAGGCCACTTCCTGACCCCTCGCCCTCCCCAGACACAGCCAATAACCACGGGGGATGGGCAGTGCCTCCGTGACGGATTCGGGCAGCGGGGAAGCGGGCTTTCTTCATCCTCCCACCAACACACACACACACACACACACACACACAAACACACACACACACGGGACCTTCCATTTTACTACCCCGTCCCTCTCGTCCTCACTTTACCCCGGAATTTAAAAAGCAGACAAACGGCCTATCTACAAATGGAGAACTGCCACTTGAAATCACAGCACTGGAGGGGCCCTAGAGCAGGGGAGGGTAGAGCTCAGTGGTGGAGCGCATGCTTAGCACGCATGAGGTCCTGGGTTCAATCCCCAGTACCTCCATTAAAATACAGAAATAAATAACCCAATCATGCACACCCCGGCCCCACAAACCTCCTAGCACAGGTCTTCCAACGATGGATCATGTTTTTAAATGATCAATTTAAAAGAAAGTTTTAAAATCAGGCTACAACTCCTGAAAACTGACTTACCGAAACTGGGACCAGGTAGGAAACAGTTTTCTGGAATGCAGAGTCGCATTTCTTTTGGAAGGATTTGCCTTCCTCAGAACGGAATGATCTGCAAGTCTCCCACAGCTACGGGCTGCAGGAAGAACCATGTGTGCTAGTTCATCTTTGGGGGAGTCCTCGTGTTAAGTCAGAACTTACTCGTTTTGATTCCAGCAACACTCAGTGTAATTGCATCTTAATTATTGCATCTAATAGGGATGGTAGCTAACAAGCTTGTTTTTTGTTTGTTTTACAGCCTGCTTTTATTTGTTCTAAAACACAAATGACATCCCATTATGAGTTTTGGCTGCAAAAGAATCTTGGGAAACTTGTTCAGATACTTTAAATTGTCCCAAGGCATTAGCTGGGAACACTGGCACTAAAGTGCAGTGCATGTGTGCTCGGGGTACCCAGCCACAGAGCGGGGTTGTCCTTCAAAAAGAAACAAAAATCCATCCAACTAAGCAGGTCTCCCTGCGAGAGCTGTTGACTGACCACCCGACCACGGGCTGCCGTGCTCCGATACAGGCGCACTTTCGCGGTTGCTGGGGCCTTCGTCAGCCAGACTGCACTCGGGTTGAATGAGGCAGGATCAAGTCCCCTCCAAAAACCTGCCCTGACTAACACGGCTCAATTTATAGCCCTGTTTGGTGGGCGGGGCAGGGGGTGGGTGGCACAGGGAAGAGGGAAAGAAATGTGTCACCGGCTTTGAATGAAGTTCAGGGGCAGTGTTTACCTAAGCAACAAACGCCGGTAAACAATCGCTATCTCTGGCTGGTGAGGAGGACGTGGGGGGTGGGGGGGACTGTTCTGATCAAAATCCACCCCATGGCTGCAAAGTGCCCCTCACCAGGGTGAGGAGTTAGTGGGAACATACCTGCTTCCCCTAGTAAGCATGATGTACACGTTCCCCTGAGGGTCACCTGAGCACCCGGCTTCCTAAGAGGAATACTGAAGAACCAGAAGGTTCAGGCTTCAGTTTCCATCACCAGCCAAACTTGCACGTGAGTGTCTTTACGTGTGAGCCGTCAGGGTTCAACACCTGGCTCTTCTGATATTCTTGTACAACAGGAATAAAAACATCATGCTGAAACTCGCCCGGGAAGTTGCAGCTTCTCGCTGACATAAGGAAGGTAGACTGGACAGGTATTGATTTATAAACACAAGGAATGAGATCAAAAAAGACATTCAACTGAAGACTGAAATAAGTCTCTAGTTGAGAGCAGTCTAAGACATATTCAAATAGCTCAAAGTTTTGTTTTTCCTCCCCCACAGCTCCTCTTGGTTTATACAGGATGAAATGTCAACATGACAACACACTTTCTTCTAAGTAGACCCCAGGTGGACCCAGGTCTACCTGTCGTGGCAAATCAAACTCAAACGTAATTTCACCAGAGGAAAATATATGCAGATGTTCAATTAGAACCTGGAGTCCGCGGTCCTGGCGCTGTTTGCCAGCCCTCATTGTTTGCTGAGTAACAACGGTTGCCAGGGACAACGTAGTCCACTCCCGTCTCCAAGAGCCTGTTGCTGGGCAACGGTGAGAATACTTCCCAAACCAAACAATGTCATCCCCGGAGCAATCCCCTCTATCTCACATTAACCAGATCTAAAAAAAACCCTCCCAAATATGTAATCTATTATTTTCAGAAGCCCGAAGAGAAAGGCAAATAATCTCCTCTCTATAGTAACCACGGGGAAAACAGTTTACCATATTTGTTCTGAAATAACAAAACCCAAGAAAGGACCAACTGTCTCCGCGGAAAGCATCACTGGAGGGACTTCTGCGATCCTTCCTAGTGCTGGGAGGAGAAAGTGCCTTTTTCTCCAAGAAGAAAGAATTTATTTATCATCAGGCCAACAATGTAGGGTAGCTCATAGCTGCATACGGGTCTTCCAGGCAGTGACCAGAAAAAGTGAAACAGCCTGGGGAGTCAGCTATTTGAAAAACACGTAAGAACAGAGGAGTAGATACCCAATTAAAAAGCCTTTTGAGAATGTCAAGTGCGTACGAAATAGGTGCAAACGGAACCGAGGACTCAGCATTAGAAACGCCTCCTGGGGCTGGGCCGGAGGAAACTTACAGCGTGTGGTCCCGGTGCCGGCTCTCCCCGCCCCGCGCAGGGAGGGGACTCTGGGAGAGGAAGCCAGGCCACATCAGGGCCCCCAGATGGCAGGAAGCACAGGGAGGGACATGCAGCCCCAGAAAGAGGTGGCAGGGAGGTCCCGAGGGTTGGCCAGTCTTGACCCACAGAGAAAACAAAACCAGCTGAGCTCAGACCCTGCGTGAGCTGGGCTCTGCGGAGCCGTGCAGGCGGCACGCCGGCTCCCGAGGCTCCGGGACGGGGAGCGGGAGCAGGCAGCACTCTTACAAGGCAGGGCGTCGAGTTCTAAGACATGGTCTGGTTTTGAGGGGAGCGTGGCCAGAAAACCTTACAACATGTTGACTGAACGGCAAGTACATGGCTCTAGCCGCAAGGGCCCGCGTTCTCGATGATGGAGGCGCAGGACGCTGAGAGACGTGTCCTGGCAGGAGCGCACCTTTGAGCTCTTGCCTGAGGTCCGGCCCCGGGTACGAGTTGTCAGGGCTGCACAGTAACTTTTTTTCTTAAGATCTCATCTTAAGATCTCATCCAGAAGGGGCTCCTAGCATAAATTGGACAAGATCAATGCGAGTCTCTGAGAAGAAGGGAAGGTGGAGTCCACGCTGTTAGGAGCTGAACCTGGGCTCCGGAGAGACCAGGAATTTGAGGCCAGACTCTAGGGCCGTTAACCCATGGCTCAGCGGTAGCGTAGAGCAGTGACCAAGCTGGTCTCTAATCTGAGGGGAGACCGCGAGCAGCCAACATCATGGGAGTTGCCAGGGGACGCTGCTGAGTCTGCCTGGACCTACCCCCCTACCCCCGCCACGCGAAGGGAGGCTCTGACATGCAGCCTGAGGACCCCAAACCCCATCTCCGGGAAGAGGACTGACGCAGAGGTCCTAGTTGCTTTAGTCATTGATTTCAATCAAAAACTACTTATTGAATGCCTAGCATGGGCCAGGTATTGCCTGGGAATCAAAGCAAACCAAATTGCCTTCCTTTGTGAAGCTTGTGTCCCAGTAGGTAGTGGAGGGAGGGGATAGAGACAGTAAACAAAAGAAATAAGAAAAGTATATCCTATGTCAGATGGTGTCAGATGCAGAGGTGGGGGCTGCTGGGGTGGGGTGGGCAGGGCAGCAATTTCTAAAGGGTTGTCACATGTCTCCCTGAGAAGACTCACTAAAGAGGTGAGGAAAGAGTGGGGCAGAGCCATTCAGATATCGAGGGGGAAAGCATTCCTGTGGCGGGAACAGCCAGTGCAAAGGCCCAGTGGTGGGACCAGATTTGGCTGGTGACTAGAGTGGAGAGAACCAGGAGACCAGGAGGAGAAGAGGTCCACGCAGACCATCACACGGGCTTGGCTTTTGCTTAGGGTGAAACGGAAGTGACCAGAGCATTTCAGCCCAAGAGCGACCTGCTTTGACTTGTGTTTTAACCAGGTCCCTCTGGCTGCTGGGTTGAGAACAGGTAAAGAAGGAGATGGGGGGAAGTAGGGAGAGCAGTTAAGAGGCTACTGTGATAATCCAGGTGAGAGATGGTGACATGGCCTCAGTGACAGCAGGGAAGGGGTGCAAAGCAGTCAGATTCTGGATAAATACTGGGTGTGGAGTCAGCAGGGCTGGCTAAAGGTTGGATGTG